GAAATAAGTTGTCTATGCCTAAATGTCAAGAGTCGAAAAGGGAGAATACTAATTGAAGTACATAGATTTTTGATGTCCTTCTCTTTTTTCTCCTGTCTGTCTTTGTCCCAAAACGTTCATTTACTTCCTAATGAAAGCTGTTGTACTAAAAATGTGAATAACATAAATAAGCAAAAAAGAACATCAAGAAGGAAATTCCGCAAAAAAGGGTTAGTGCAAAAAGCAAATGTGTCAGTTAAGTTCGCCAAAGTCTTTGCTTCTTCAGATAATTGCCTTCTTGACGGGTAGGGCTCCTCGGACCTAGGCGATGCGAAAAAAGAAAAACGAGGAGCAAGGAAAAGAAAAAAAAAGAACGGGCAATTGGCATACTGTCATTAACAGGGGCTCGGCGAGTGACATTTGAATGAAAAATTCGAGCGAAATTGCTCGTCTTTTTTTTTGCTGTTTTTTAGACTTTAGCCTCACATTGAACTTTTTGCTAGTGCATCAAGGGCACGAGGTTCTTTTTTTCATTAGGAGCAAGTTGACAGTTGGAACTTAGTTCTTGTCATCTTGCAAAATTTTTCTGGAACATGAAAAGGAGAAAATACAGAAAAAGAATATATTGGTTTTTATATCAGCAAATGCAATTCCATGAACTTAACTTGAAAATATGTGTATTCTCAGTAATACAATAGCCCTTTCAAAAAATCCCAGACACGATAACAGGAAGCACCGATCTACCAACTAAAAATAATGTTGACTCCGACCATCTCGCCATATTTTGTACTTTTATTCGAATCGACCCATGTAAACAAGCCCCATGCAAACGTTTCTGAGAAAAATAGAATAGTAACTCCTAATTTTTCGAAAAATTCCAAGAACCATTATACAATAACATAGACACATCCGTTCCATGGAAGGACCAGATGAATGGAAAAAGTGCTCAATATGATAAATATTTATGGAAATTTGATGCATCTGTCTATCGCACTTCCACTGCATCTCTATTTTTTTTTCGGTTTGATCTTGAATGTTTGAAAATAAATGAAAAAATGGTGAGAGGAAATTAGGAAGGGCAATCTGTGGAACTGATTTATAAGAAAAAAAAGAACTTTGTAGGTTGCTAGTAGACTAAAAATCCAGGTTATAACTGGGAAAACAGGGAAAAGAGCTAAAGAAAAAAGGTGATGATTTTTATGAGGTTGCGATTTTTCATCACTCCAGCGGGCCAGCTGTTATAGGTCTTTAGTGAAATCATTTTAAAAAAAACCATTTAGAAAAATCAGTGAACAGAGAAACAGATGAATAAACTACGAGCCATAAAACCTACAAAGAAACAGCAATAAAATTGGAATAAGGGGATTAATAAGCAAAATCAATGGTGGTTATTACATAAATCACACCGGAAACTGGATAGCGGAGCCTCGTAGCAAGACGGTTGGGACTTTGGGAAAGTGTTGTGGCAGATAATGTGCTCCTGGCAAGTCAATGCGGACAGTCAATGAGGATACCGCCAATACTAATGAGTACATGACCATTTCCGAAACTACTTTTATAAAAATTCTAATTGTGTGAATTTGAATCAAAAACAAGCGGGTCGGATTTCGGTATTCAGAAAGTTCCTAGAATTCTGACCGAAATTTTTTTGAATGGATGAGGTTACGGTAATTGTTAGAATTTCTTTGAAATGTTGTTTGTTTGTTGTTGTTACTTTGCTTTTTTGCTTCTTCTGAGGTTTGTCCTAAGTCAAAAAATTGTGTATTCGAAAAATAATGATTTCGATATTTTGAATTAACCCGAACATCCGAAAAACCAAACAATTTGAAAATCCAAAGTTTTCAAAATCTTTATTCCGTACTCCTTTGGCCTGAAATACATTTTCTGAACCCAACAATTAAATCTGGATTTTGAACTGCTCAATAATTCTGAATCCAGAATTGTGTCTCTCATTTCTAGATTCCTTCAAATAGCAATAATTTCAGATTTACTTAACTCTTTCCCTTTTTCTTACCACCTGAAAATATAAATTCCCGATTCTTTAATCTTTCACACACTGTCATTTTTCCCATTATTCACCGCTTCCTCTCGTTTTTTTTTGTCCTTCCATCCATTTTTTCTTTAACAATGTTGCATATTTCCTGTTTCCTCATCAATCCTCATCTCGTTTGTATTTCTCTTACACTTTCTCCTTGAAAGATATGTTTACCTAGTCAAACACCTGTGGTTACCCTACTACTACATTCCTGCTTGCTTCGGAAATATGAAAAAAAAAACGAAAAAGTGAGAAACGGAAAGGAGAATTGAGAAGACGTTTTGAAACAACGTCATCATCACGTCTAAGCCCGAACCTCATAACTCGAACGTCCCCATACTATCGCCACCAACGATCTATATATTCGTTTTTCTCATTTTACACTCTCCCCCCCCCCCTTTTTGCTGCTTCCAGCCATTCTCATCTCATTTGAAGATATCCGATAGCAAGTACAATACCTCCTCTCCCGCTTTTCCCTTTTTTTGTTCTCTATTCATCGTCTCATCATTCATTTTCAATTCGACCCCACCCTTTTCATTATAATTCAAACTTCTATTGTTATCATGAAAATACGGTCTCACTTCAAAAGTATACTTAAAGTTCTCCAAATAAAGGAAGGGGACGAGAAGTTCAGAGATCTCAATCTTCAATTCATCAAAAAATTCGTTTGTTGTTTTCTCTTTCTCTTCATTTCATTTCCGTTCGGTTTGAAAAGTTTGTAGATCTTCTAATGAGTCTGCAAAAGAGGTCCTCATTAGAATTTTTTCCAGAAAATAGGAGCTTTGCAAGAAAACTTTGGAATAAAAAAGCTGCAAAATTTAGGGGCATACATTTGTAGGTATTTGTAAGCTTAAATTATTCATATTCAGCATTATTTTTTTGGCATTTATTGTTGGCATAATCAGTATCGGTCAAGAGGCTATACAAAACGTGTTTTTGAGTTGATTTGTAGCAATTTTCATCATTATCAGAAGTCTGAAGCTCGACTGTCAAGTTTCGGATCACTTTGAAAACTTTGGAGAAGGTAAAATAGACCTAGATTTCAAAATTTGCACTTACAGGATTTTTTGAAATTCCTAGTTTTTCAGCTATTTGATTTCTAAAAGACACCAGTTTTCTCTTATTTTCAGTACAAAACAAGGCTGAAAAAAGGGTTTCAGTCAGAATTTGGCAAATAGCTGTAAAACTAGGTACTTTCAAAAAATTCTGTCAATGCGAAATTTTTGATCTATGTGTATTTCATACCCTCCAAAGTTTGCAAAAAAATCGGAAATTTAACTGGCGAGTTTCAGACTCCTGAAACTGGTCAAAATAGGTGACGATAACCTGAAAGAACCAAGTTTTTTGTACATTTTATGGACCGGTACTGTACATTTTAGCATTTTTAAGCTTGACTTCATATCTCCAACGATTTTTGGGGAATCATTCTTACTATAATACTTTAAAATATTTCACCGTGAGAACCTGTAACAGAAGGTCCCCCCCCTCCCACTGTCAAATTCAAATCAATTTTTTTCGGTTCCAATCATACATGTGGATGGCCCCGGGCCGCCTAAGACAACTTTTCGAAAATGTTACTTTTCAAATGTGCCAATATATCTTAATAGCAATCCAAATGCATACAACCATCCGAAAAAGTCAATTTAATTGAATTTTTAGCAAAAAAATCAAACTTCATTAAGCCAAGGATGAAACTTTTTTCTAAAAACAACCTCAAAACAGTTTTTTTTTTGACAGAATCGTCCTCTAGTGTGGATTTTTATTTATTAAAGAAAAAAGCCATTTTCAAAAATGATGATTTGCTCTGAAATTTCAAAATTTTCAAAAAGCGGGCCGGCCATGTGTAATTTTTTCCGGCCCGGCCCTTTCAGAAAAAAGCCCGCTTTCAGAAAAATCCCAGCCCGGCCATGGCCCGGCCCGGCCCGCGGGCCGGCCATCTTTTCCACAAGTATGGTTCCAATGCAAGATATCAAACATTTGTTAACTGACAAGATGTTTGTGTTACTATGATAATCAATTTATCAGTTTACAACTATTTTGTGTCTCTGAAAGGGACCGAGATAAACCGGCTTGAAGTTAAAAGGGTTTTTGACCCTTCAATCATTTTTGTGAGTTTTGTTTTTCCCTCCGGAGTTTAAAAAAGAAAACCAAATTCCGAATTTCTAAACTCCCGAAATTCCAAATTTTGACTCCTGAATTATTACGTCAGAGCTTGTGCCCTTGTTATGATATCACATACACATATCCTTTATTCATTTTCATTTTCTCCTTCTGTATGTATATCAATAGAGATAAAGCTAGTTTGATATTGTGTGTGTAGAGATGGCATTTGTGTCTATAACACATGTGAGAGATCTACCCCTTTGGGTGAGATGGCAACAAGCGCCCCCCCCCCCCCCAATTCACATCTTTTCACCACAAATCCTTCGTTTTTTAGCCCTACACCTCCTCAACTGTGTTGTACTTCAACGGATTTGTTGCAATTCGATGGATTTTGTGTTTTTGTGTGAATTGAATGATCAAAATTCATCCGAATCAAAATGTGTCCTTCGGTTTTTTCTCCCTTCTTTTACAATCGTTTAGTCTATAGAAGTTCTTGGTTACTCTTTCATACCGGATAATCCTTGCGCTTAAAAATCGTGACAAGTTTTGAACCGAACCAAGTCACCAATCTCAATGTTTTTTTCTTGGTTCGATTTTTCGATTCAAAGCGAAAGGACGGAAGTTTGACTTTCACTCCTCCCTAGCTTCACTTTTTGTTGCGTCTTGGCACGCCTGATCTGGCTTTTGAACACACGGAGATAAGCAAAAAAAGCGTATTCATTAAACAGTGTGATTGTAGAGACAGAGAAATACACACACATTCACTTTCAAACACCCTTTTTTATCATCGCTCAGCCACTTTTCACCTGACCTCATTGTGTATTTGTTTGATCCGTTCACGCCAATCATCTTCTCCTAGATTAATTGGCTTTTCAGGGGAGATATGCTGAGGATAGGATATCTAATCAGCGTGTCGATAGGATTGGCATTTTGCCAGATGCCGTATGGACCTTCTCAGCTAGACTTGTATTTTCGATTATTGAGAAATCAGAATTTGGGAGGTTTTGGCAACCTTATAAATGTGGAGAACCGTATTCGAACAGCAGAACGGCAACAGTTTTTGTCGGGTTTACCACCATTGCCAATGACTCATGATGAAGGTATGTGTTTGGTTACTGTAGCAAAAATTTATACCTTTGTGAAGGATCGGAATACTTTAGAAGTTTGGAGAATATATTTTTTCTAAATTTTGAAGCTTAAAATTGAAATATACCACATTTTTGATAAATTTTCCTCTTTTTTCTGTTTTTTGAAAACACTGAAAGTTGTGCTTACCTTAGTTCCTTGAATTGAAGCCGACTCGAACCGGTAACTTTGAGCTTTATTGTCTTGATTCCTGTGAAAGATGACAAAAGTAAGTCAATTTGTGACCGATTGTTTGGAATGTGATAAATAATTTATCAGCAGACAAAATTTTGATATCTTTCGCAGGAATCGAGATATTTAAGTTGAAAGTTGCCGGCTTGTATGTGCTTCGAATAAAGGAATACGGTATACAGAATTTAGTCATAATATCGTTTTCAAATACTAACGATTTTCCAAACTTTCAGTCATCAATGTATTAACCACTGAATCTCCAACAACGACTGAAAAACCAACTGCCAGACCCACAACTCCATTACCACCAGTTGAGGACCCATTTGGTGCTAATAATATTCCAGAAGGTCCACCAGTTCCAGAAGAGAGGTGATTACTTTAGAAAAGTTTTTTGTGGGCTCCCATTTTAATTTATTACCTTATTTCCTCCATCAGACGCTTTCCCAACACGTTTATTTTGAGCTCAATTATCTCAATTCCTGTCCAAGTTATCAAAAAACTGCCAACTGATATAATACTTGTTATAATATCACCAATATTTTATCCGTGGACCATTTTCTGGTATCTTCTGCAGAAATGAAGATAATTGAGCTCAATAATTACAGTCAAAGTGGGGTTTGTTGGAGGAAATATGGTAATTTATTTTGGTTCCTATGAAAAATATCTAAAAGTAGTTTCTTCTAATGCCGCGCATAATATTAAAGCCAATTTGGTAGTTTACTATTTCTCAAAAACCTAGACAGGAGCCGAGATAGGTCCTGTTACTGGTTAGCTTTTAAACTCAAATATTTCAGCATTGGTGGCACTTATGACGAGGATGGTAACTTTGTGTCTGCCACAAATTTGATCACAGAACGGAAACGAAATTTGGTAAGGTTCCCTCGGTTTTCTTATACTTTTCAAATCATAAACTCTCCCTGTTGAGGCTCGTGGGGCTAGAAACTACCAGCTCAGTGATACGGCCACCACTAAAAAATATGGGTATGTAGCGCAGTTTCATCAGCCAATCCATGTAAGTTATTGTGATTTTTGAAAGTGATATCTATGATTCAGCAAAATTACAGCACGCACAAAACCGAGTGATCAGACAACACACTACACCACGCCCATATACGTACCCACCATTGGTTTTTAGGTGAGAAAAACTTAAAAATAATAATATTTTACAATTTTTTTGTAACTTTTCCAGAGCCAAACCCCAACCACCAACTCGTGACACCTACCTCAACAACTTGTTGTTGGAAATTGAGGAGTACGATGATTTCTTGGTTAGTTCATTTTTCTTTTTTTGCGACTAATCAATTGGTGGTCTCCATTACATTAGCCTCTTATCGTTTTCACTTGATTAGCTTTCACCAGTTCCGCTAAATGATACCAATTATCATTCACACTTCATTATCTTTCTTTCCCTTTTTTTGTCTTAGATTATCATATTCAGGACCAAGTGAACCAGTACAAAACGCGCTATCCAGGAGCTCAGGTGCCAAATCCATACCGCTCACTTCCAGAGGGCAAACTACCAGCTTTGGCACAATATAGAAAGAAATAAATACAATTTTTAAATGTTCATATCTGTATATTAGCTTTTCTAAAGTTTCTCAAGTGACCGTTCAAAAGCTTTCAGGCCCTCTTGTCTTCTTTTGTCAATTTTAAATATAAATTATTTATTACATATTAGAACTCATAATCTATTGATTCATACTGTCAATTCTTCAAATTTTGTTCAATAAAAAAAACGCTAAAACGTACAAAGTGGGGAGTAAAGCATGATTCTGTGGGATGGGAACAAATAAATTAGGGATAAAACCGATTTGTACAGATAAAATATGTTTGGTAAAAAGTGCTATATGATGATAAACAACCAAAGACAGAAACTTCTTTTTTGAGAAATATAATATTACCGTATTTCCTCTAATACACCCATGAAACTCAATTATCTCCATTTCAGTAAGAGCTATCGAAAAATTGTAAACTGATAAAGTGTTGGTGATATTAAGATAAGCATTTTATCAGTTGACAAATTTTTGATATCTTTGACAGGAATGTTGAAATATACGATTTGGATAGGTTTCTATTAAAGGAAATACGGTATTAGTTTTGAAAAACATTTGGAATGCGAATATTTGTGATCATGTTTATTTTTTCAATTGTTTTTGAGGGATTCGGCTCATTGAGCCGTGGCTGTCCTGAGTTCCTCCATCTTTAGAGCCGCTAGTACATGATTCCTCTCAATGTTGGACCCCATGCTGCTTGCAATATTCATTAGCATTTCCTGAGGGCTTATTGGCTTGGGGATCTGTACAAGTGGCTTGATTGGTGTTAGCAGGTGTTGAACAGCAGGGATTTCAGAGTCGTCTTCTAGCTGGAACGCAAAAAAAGTTTACAAATATTTTTTAAATGATATCTTACCATTGAAGTTGTAATCGACGGTCGTTTAATTGCTGGTTGCCCAATAATATCTACAATATCCAGCGAACGTTTTCTTCCAGGAATTTCGTCTTCCAAGGATGAGAAATCAGATGACAAGCGGTTCATTTGAGCTTGTCCCTTTAAAAGTAACTGCTCTTCCTTTGCAATTTCAGCTTGTATACTTTCCACAGCTTGGATAGTGTTAACAAATGTGTCAGCAGCGTTTAAACTGCACAGCATTTTCAATAGAACTGAAATTTTCGAATTAAAATTCAATATAAGGATTTTAAACTCACTATTAGGACATGTGGAAATTCCTTTAATCTTATCTCTCATATTATTGATTTTATTCACAATCAGATCTATAATATTGTCTCCAAACCCAGCACTAATCATTTCTGCAATCATCTCCTGCGGATTCTGCTCCGTATTCCCTGTTTGAAATTTGGCATCTGGATTCCAAAACATTGACGGTTGAGGTGGAACCGTTTGCAGAAGAGAATTAGTTGCAGTCATCCGTTGTTGTTGTTGCTGCTGCTGGAATAGATGCGTGGCGGTGTCCTCCATATTTGTCGTTTCCTCTTTGATAGAAGTGGCTGTGAATAGGGGCAATTGTGATTGGGCGGTGGCGGTTGATGGTGTTGAAAAGTTGTTGTTCTTCATGTTTTGGCTGATGGCGACGAAACGGGAGAATGCGGGATTTTTGAATAGAGTTCCTGCAAAATTTTGGTCTGTTTTTTAAAGGAAAGTATTTTGATGATGAAAAACAGTACAAGAAAAGTTAGAAAGTTAAAAACTATAAAGGACAAATGACTCACCTAATGTTGGTTGTGCTTCTGACAGCTGTGGTTTCTTCTCTGGTACTGTGAACAAACTGGCAGAAGTATTGGGGAACTGCATCTGGGGAAACATATTTTGAGGCAACAACTTGGTAGTACTCGACCGTCTTCGTCCACTAAAAATATTTTTGAAATACGAAAAGTACTCGATTCAAAAGTATTACCTTGGATCTGCACTGGGATCTTTTGGTGTGATATAATTTCTGCTCTGACATTTCGCGGAGCACTGATTCAAATGATCGTGAAAGTCCAACGACCGCATTTCCATTAAAGTTCGAAGGTTAGATTTTCCAATTCGAATGCTTCCCTTCCAGTCCTTTTGCTTGTCCTTGTTAGCTCTAACTGTGAATTCTTTTGGGCTGATGTACTCGTTTTCGCCGTCAATGAGGATGCAGTTTTGATGGATGCCGGGACAGGTGAAGAGTTTGGTGACCATTTTTGCTGTTAGGGTTCCGCATTTGACCTGGAAATAGATTTATACATTTTAAAATATCAAATTCCGATTTTTTCTGCATAGTCTACTTTTAAGTTGTTCAAAACTAGTTTTGAGCTTCTATACCAAAATTACCGTTATTGCTCTAATCCAATTCCATCTATACATGTAGTTTGAGCTCAGTTATCTCGATTCCTTCAAGAGAAATCAAACTATTGTCAACTGATAAAATGTTAGTGATATTATGATACACATTTCATCAATTGACAAATTTTTGAAATCTTTCGAAGGAAACGAGATAATAGAGCACAAAGATGACGGAATAGAGGGCTTCTGTGAGAAGAAGTACGATACCTTTGCCCCTTTGAACGATTACCAAAACTGATTTTTCGAAAAATGTTCATCACAGTATGAAAAAAATAGCTATGCATATTTTGAGCTCAATTATCTCGGTTCCTATGACAGATAAAAAATCTGTCAACTGATAACATATTGGTGATATTATGATCAATACTTTATTAGTTGACAAGTTTTTGATATCTTTTGAAAGAACCGAGGTAATAGAGCTAAAAAATATAGTGGAATTTGATTGGAGCAGAAGCTTTAATTGGAGCGGTGGTTAGAGAGAATATTTTTTGTAAGTGATAACTTCTATGGTGATTTTTGGTCCATGATTTTACTTTACACCATAATTTTGTAGGTATTTTAGGATACATCCTCTTTCAGACTGTGACTTAACCAGGAACTATCAGACGTGCATCGCACTTAAACGTTCTCAAAATGTCCTTCTCAAAAATCCCCTATGTCCCTTCCAAACCCATTGCCTCCCCCAAAATGTACGACTCAACGACTGGGAGTCGATTGACACGAGAATATCATGATGTTCTTCTCGCGCCGCGCTTGGTGTGCATTATTTGCGTCTAGCGGCGCGGTGCGTGACCGTTCTCGGCTGTTGCTACGGTCGCCCCGCGCGCGCCACCTATTTTCACGCTGACCATCATCCCCACAAGCCCGCTCGGCGCTCGCGCACACATAGACATACAATTGGACTGTAAAGAGAAAAGAGTCCAGTTTCAATGCACGTTTTATGCGTCGCGTTCGGAAAGCCACACCCCAGGAATAGAAGCAACGTTCGGGAGGGGCTATTTTGATGGCAAACAAATACATGAGCCAATGTCGGGGGGATCATGAGTACGCGTTTCGGGCGCGAGCACAGGCACGCCGCGTCTGTCCGAGCCGTGTGCTCTCGGGCGTTTTTGTGTATACCAACCGAAATAGAATTTTATGACGATTCGGACAAAGCGTGTACTTTTAATCATCCGTGAATCACTGGCCTGTATGGTAGTTAAAGAAGTTTGACATTATGGATCTAATAAAACAGGATATTTTGATCCTAATGGGCCATTTTGAGTCTGAAGTGCCATTCTAATTTTCCGTAACCTCATCTAGTGGCCTCATTCACATCGGAACAAGTCCTAGACGAGTTGTACTAAACGATTTCTTATCAGATATTGATTTTGCATAAAAACGTGATCCCTCTTTTCAGATCTTTCCAATCCCACTTCCACCTATTCACGCTTCACAATATCTGCCAAAACAAATCGTGAAGAGCATGATGTGATGGTGCTCTCCGCGGAGCTCGCGGACGAAATCGTGGAAAAAGTCTCTTTTGCAAACGTTGCGTGTTACTATTTTGGGCGCCCCGTTCTCTCCGCCGGTCTACTCCCTCCACATTTGCTCGTACTGTCCGTGGCGGACTGACCACTGGACAAATACTATACAAAATGTCTTGATTTTTAGGAGATGAGGTTTATGGTACCATATTATACACTTACGTTTTTGAAGCCAGTTTTGAGAAATGATAGAAAATTGGTTAGCCGGAAACTTTGGGGTTTTTAGCGGCCAAAATCAAGAGCTCAAAATTATTGAATTTAAGAACTCACCGTAATAATTGGAGGAAGTGCTACACTGGCTTCTTTTGCCAGTGCATCTGAATCTAAGCCACCTTGATTATCAGATTCTTCATCGGTGGTTTCTGGAGGTGACCGACGTTGCGGAGAAACATTCTCAGTCTCACGAGAGCCAATTTTAGGGAGGATATCTTTTACGTCGTCAGACAACTTGTCTTCTTTGACTTCTTTTCTAAGCTCCAAAGGCATCAAAAGTCCAACTTCAGACATGACACCTAGAATTTGAAAATGAGTTAGTTATGGTCATTTTGGAAAAGGAGAAAAAGCACAAATCAAAGAGTTTCAAAAATTCGGGACGAAAATAATTGGGATAAAAAAATGGCGGCGGGGGTTAAAAAGGCATTAGAAAAATGACGAATAGTTTTGTGAACGTAAAAAATAGAAAAAAGAGATGAAGAGGAAGAAAGTCAACCCAAAGGGAAAAGGCAACACACTGTTTGTAGGCGCAAAAACACAAGGCGCGCTCGCACAGTGAGCACTATTCGGCGAGCCACGCCTCCGTGCGAACTCGCAACAGCCCACGAACGATGGCCGCGGCGCGACGCGCAGGGGAAAATGACTACAACAGCTGAAGGAAAAGAGCAAGTGAGAAATCAAGGGGTCAAAGAAAATGAACAAATAACTTTTTCCATGAAAGAAAAGGTGTGAGTTGGAAATAGAGGATGCTGGAGTTGCAAACAATAGAAGTTAGAAGCATAGAGGTCAAAAAGTGCAAATCTCAGAATTTCAGAATCTCGGAATTTCAGAATAACATAATCTCAGAATCTTAGAATTTCAGAGCCTCAGAAGCTCAGAATCTCAGAATCTCGGAATCTCAGAATCTCAGAAACTCAGTATCTTATAATCTCAGAATCTCAGAATCTCAAAATTTCAGGATCTGAAAACCTCGAAATTCAGGGGTCCTCCGAATCACAGAACTTCAGAGTCTCAGAATCTCAAAATTTGAAGGTCTCAAAATCTCAGAATCTCAGAATTTCAGAATCTCAGAATCTCAGAATCTCAGAAACTCAGAATCTCAGAATCTCAGAATCTCAGAATCTCAGAATCTCAGAATCTCAGAATCTCAGAATCTCAGAATCTCAGAATCTCAGAATCTCAGAATCTCAGAATCTCAGAATCTCAGAATCTCAGAATCTCAGAATCTCAGAATCTCAGAATCTCAGAATCTCAGAATCTCAAAATTTCAGGATCTGAAAACCTCGAAATTCAGGGGTTCTCCGAATCACAGAACTTCAGAATCTCAGAATCTCAAAATTTGAAGGTCTCAAAATCTCAGAATCTCAGAATCTCAGAATCTCAGAATCTCAGAATCTCAGAATCTCAGAATCTCAGAATCTCAGAATCTCAGAATCTTAGAATCTCAGAATCTCAGAATCTCAGAATCTCAGAATCTCAAAATTTCAGGATCTGAAAACCTCGAAATTCAGGGGTTCTCCGAATCACAGAACTTCAGAATCTCAGAATCTCAAAATCTAAAGGTCTCAAAATCTCAGAATCTAGGGGTTTCAGATTCTCATAATCTCAGAATCTCAGAATCTCAGAATCTCAGAATCTCAGAATCTCAGAATCTCAGAATCTCAGAATCTCAAAATTTCAGGATCTGAAAACCTCGAAATTCAGGGGTTCTCCGAATCACAGAACTTCAGAATCTCAGAATCTCAAAATTTGAAGGTCTCAAAATCTCAGAATCTCAGAATCTCAGAATCTCAGAATCTCAGAATCTCAGAATCTCAGAATCTCAGAATCTCAGAATCTCAGAATCTTAGAATCTCAGAATCTCAGAATCTCAGAATCTCAGAATCTCAAAATTTCAGGATCTGAAAACCTCGAAATTCAGGGGTTCTCCGAATCACAGAACTTCAGAATCTCAGAATCTCAAAATCTAAAGGTCTCAAAATCTCAGAATCTAGGGGTTTCAGATTCTCATAATCTCAGAATCTCAGAATCTCAGAATCTCAGAATCTCAGAATCTCAGAATCTTAGAATCTCAGAATCTCAGAATCTCAGAATCTCAGAATCTCAAAATTTCAGGATCTGAAAACCTCGAAATTCAGGGGTTCTCCGAATCACAGAATCTCAGAATCTCAGAATCTCAGAATCTCAGAATCTCAGAATCTTAGAATCTCAGAATCTCAGAATCTCAGAATCTCAGAATCTCAAAATTTCAGGATCTGAAAACCTCGAAATTCAGGGGTTCTCCGAATCACAGAACTTCAGAATCTCAGAATCTCAAAATTTGAAGGTCTCAAAATCTCAGAATCTCAGAATCTCAGAATCTCAGAATCTCAGAATCTCAGAATCTCAGAATCTCAGAATCTCAGAATCTCAGAATCTTAGAATCTCAGAATCTCAGAATCTCAGAATCTCAGAATCTCAAAATTTCAGGATCTGAAAACCTCGAAATTCAGGGGTTCTCCGAATCACAGAATCTCAGAATCTCAGAATCTCAGAATCTCAGAATCTCAGAATCTCAGAATCTCAGAATCTCAGAATCTCAGAATCTCAGAATCTCAGAATCTCAGAATCTCAGAATCTCAGAATCTCAGAATCTCAGAATCTCAGAATCTCAGAATCTCAGAATCTCAGAATCTCAGAATCTCAAAATTTCAGGATCTGAAAACCTCGAAATTCAGGGGTTCTCCGAATCACAGAACTTCAGAATCTCAGAATCTCAAAATTTGAAGGTCTCAAAATCTCAGAATCTCAGAATCTCAGAATCTCAGAATCTCAGAATCTCAGAATCTCAGAATCTCAGAATCTCAGAATCTCAGAATCTTAGAATCTCAGAATCTCAGAATCTCAGAATCTCAGAATCTCAAAATTTCAGGATCTGAAAACCTCGAAATTCAGGGGTTCTCCGAATCACAGAACTTCAGAATCTCAGAATCTCAAAATCTAAAGGTCTCAAAATCTCAGAATCTAGGGGTTTCAGATTCTCATAATTCCAAAATCTCAGAATCTCAGAATCTTCAAATCTCAGAATTTCAGAATTTCGGAATTTCAGAATCTCAGAGTCTTAAAATCTCGATAACTCAAAATCACATAATCCAAGAATCTCAGAATCTAGAGGTTTCAAAATTTCAATGTTTCAGATTTTAGACTCTCAAAGTTTTAAAATCTCAAAATCTCAGCATCTCTGGATCTCTCGAGATCTCAGAATCTTAGAATATTAGAATCTCAGAATCTCAGAATCCGAAAATATCAGAATCTCAGGCAATCAGAACTTCATAATATCAGAATCTCAGATCTCAGTATTCTTAGTATTTTAAAGACGTTAGTAACCTTTCTTGCTTTTTTCAATTTTCGAAAACTTTCGAAAATGCTTTTTTGTAGAGAACAAAAAATCGTAGTATCGGTAATAATGATTCATCACAAGCTAGCCAAACCAACCAAACTAAAAACCACGTTCTCATCTGTCAAAGTCAGCAACTCGATACGTGACAGCCCTCCTCACTTATTGCCACGTATTTAGGGACCATAATCTCCCATCCACACGTTTTGCTGACCAACAACTGACACGCAATTTTGTTGTTGTTGTTGTTTCTACTGTTCCGATCCTGGTGTCTTCAATTTCTTTTATTTTATTTTGTCGCATCAAGCTCAGAGATTCAGAATTTCTCTCCAGGCGTGAAAAAGAAAATACACGGAGAGAACGATGAAGAATAAGGAAACACACGGAACGGGAGGAATGGTCGAAATGCGTGAGGAATGTTTGTGTGTGTGTGTCACGGTGTGAGGAGGGCTGCTGCAGTAATCGTCAAATCACTAGTTTTTCCTATTGGACCCTCTGGCTTGTCGCAGCTTGCGGGAAGCCTCGCCGTCTCCCGCCAGGAGAATCGACGGATGCTAGTGGTAGTGTCCGCGCCGACCAGTCAGTTTGCGTGCGTGGATGTTTGCGTGTGCGTGCGTGTGGTGCGTGAGAGGGAGATGATGTGCGAAATTTAATGGTGCGGGCCGGGGTCGGTCGAACAAGCCTATTTAGCCCATACGCCAACTTTTTTGGTGTTTAGTTAGATATTGTCTCATTGCGTGCGTGTCACTTGCGCATAGATGACCTTTGAAAAAACTGGAAAAAAACACGCGAAAAAGAGTTTTTAGAAAACTTGTAAACCATCTGCAAGGATTATGAGTATAGCCGACCCGGCACGTAGACTAAAACTTAAAAAGTCACGTGAAAATTACGTGAGAGGGATACAAAAAGAAAGAAAACAAAACCAGAGAGTTGGTTTGTTAGTGGGTAGTAGTAATAGAGAAAATAAGGGTTTACCTAAATAAGAAAGCTATTAATTAACTAAACCTAACGTTTCGTGATTCATAGATGAACCCGAAAGTTTTTAAGAAATTAGGCTAAAGAGCCAAAACAGCCTAGATACCATAAAAACAGTAATAGAATAGTTCAACGTTGTCAAGTTTGAGCCAATTTATATCGATTCCTATGAAATATATACAAAAACAAACCAGGCCACAACTTTGAGCTTAATTATTTCGATTCCTGTGAGAATTATCAAAAATGTGTCAACTGATAAAATATTGCTGATAATATGATAAACATTTTATCTGTTCTCAAATTTTTGATATCTTTCACAAGAATGGAGATGGTTGAGCTCAAATGTAAAGACGGTGACAGTAACTTTGAATATTTTTTCTTTCAAAGACCGGATTGTTATCGAAAACATCTAAAAAATTAGAAAGATATCGGATCATTGGGCTCCGACAGATCGTTGTTAAAATCATAAAATCCATACTTGTAAAATTCCGGGCCGGCCCGCCAAAACCCGGGCCGGGCAGCGCCGGGCCTGAGGAAATTTTCAATGCCCGGAAAGCCCGGTGTCAAAAATTCTGTATTTTTGAGCCAAATTTTGAGCTCTCAATATAATTTTTTCCATTTTTTTTTTCGTATTTCGGATTGTTTGTCTGTCTGATCAAAAAAGATCGAAAAACTCGAAAAAAAATTTTTTTGGTCGAAAAAAATCACATAAGGGTCCCCCCTTATGTGTTTTTTGAAAAATTCGAAACTAGTGAAATGACGGGCCGGGCCGGGCCTCCGAAATTCTGGAAAAAAGCCCGGCCCGGCTTGTTACAAGTATGATAAAATCTCTTCTAGTACTGGTTTGTCGTAGGACCGTATATTTTTAATATTTTGAATTGTTCACAATTTTTAAAAAATTAGACTAAGAGGCTTTTTCGAAACATACCCAACCATTCTGCTACAATCTCACTTTCTCTCTCTCTCTCTCTCTCTCTCTCTCTCTCTCTCTCTCTTTTCTGATTTCTGCCAACAGTTCAAAAACTACGGAGATACAACGTCGAGAATGAAATTAGAAGCATTCATTATTGGGAGGAAACGGATAAAAAGAACGTAGAAATTAAGAAGACACACGCAAAATCGGGATGAATTGAAACGTCAAAGATTAACGTGAAAATGCGAAAAACGGGCGAGGAAAACGAAACAGAAAACGGAGGAAATGAAGAAGAACAAGGAGAAGAATGGAGGCCTGATGACGGAACGTGTCACCTCCCAAAACTTCTGCTTCGCGGGATCGGTCATATATAACCTTTTTTCGACTGGACCGGTGTTTGTGTCCTTTGATGTCCAAAACTACAGTAGTTGCTTTTACAGACCTCACCTCACTTTTCATATCTATCGCAACCAATAAGGAACGTTTGACGTGACATGTTTTGTGTTTTGTGTTCTTTTACCACAAAACTACGACTACCAGTTGTAATTAAGAATGTAGAGAAAGAGAGAGAGAGCGAGGGACAAGTCGAAAGGCCAAAAGGAAATGCCAAATGAGACACGCGAACGGTTGCATATATTTGTAATCTGGAGGACGTAAAAGCCAAGTGTACTTGAAAACAGTTTGACTAAGAGGCCAAAAAAAGTGTATCTTTCCATCAGAGAAAAAGGTCGGGAACATAATGAAACAAAGGATCGGAAAAGAGGATAAGGACTTTGTATAAAGAATTGAAAAAAAAAGAGGACGACGTGCAAAAAGAGCCCCTCTCGAACAAACGCGTGTGGACCGCGAAACCGAAACGTGTGTGTTTGCTTATCACGTTTCGCATCGCCCTTTTTCCCAACAACGCGTGAACCCCACCCCCACCGTCCTGGGCTGCTTCTTTCTCATCGTTGTCCATCCCCCTCTAAACCACACGCTCCTCTTTTGTAAGCCTATATTTATTTTATGGAATGTCAAAACCTCCCAGCCGGTGGACGACTGTACACTTACACCTGTTTGAACTATTATCGGAACTGATTTGGAAAAAAAGGTTCAAGAAATGGAAAACTTTTTTCCATCCCTGCTCAAGGTTTTTGGAAAGAGAGATAAATTTTGGAAAGGTACCCGGTCAAATATCCACTGAAAAAAATTTGATGGCATATAGGTTCTCGAGAAATGAACACACCGTAAACACTCTTATGGAATATCCACAAACCGTCAACTTTGACTTAATTTATCTCAGTTCACGTAAAGGTTGATAGAAAGTAGTAAACTAACAAAATATTCATCATAATATCAAAAATAATTTGTTAGTTGACCATTTTTCGATATCACTTACAGAAACTGAGATAAATTGGTTTAAATGTCAGAGTTAAACACGCTGTTGTCCATTTCAAGAGATTGGGTGCTCTAACTGTACGAATAACCGTAAAACCTATGATAAAAAATTTTCAGATTGTCACTTCCAAACAAACTTATCTCGGTTCGAATGAAAGATTATAAACATTATTAACTGACAGAATGCTAATCATAACATCAGAAGCAAATTGTCTGTTCACAATTTTTCATAACTTTGACAGTTACCTAGATAAATTAGGTAAAATTTGATATTGTGGGTGCTCATCTATTACCAATTTTCGTTCAAAATACTTAAATCGAGTTCAGCTCAGATTTACCAGTTACAGTAATCCGAAAAAAGCCAACAAGTTTAGAAATCTTTCAGAATCAATTTTCCATAAGTTAAAAATGGAACGTCACCGTTATGCTTCACTTTGAGCTCAATAACCTCGTATTCAGATATCAAAAATGTGTCAACTGGTAAACTTTTTATTATGAAATTATCTACAATTTATCAGTTAACAGAATTTCGATATTTCTTACCGAAAAAGAGATAATTGAGCTCAAAGTGCAAGCTCTGACAGAAGCAAACTTTACACTGGCACTTTAAACTCAATTATCTTAATATCTGTGAGAAATATCAAAAACATGTCAACTGATTACCTTTTTATCATAATGTCACCAACATTTTATCAGTTGACAATTTTATATATATCTTTTACAGGAAGCGACATAATTGAGTTTTAAAAAAAGTCTAAAAGTTCCATTCTATCGCAGTTTTTACGTTATTGAAAATTTTAACCTTTTTGATCATGTTTTTTTTAAATAAGTTCATTTTTCCTTGTCTTAAAATTCTTTACAAAAAGTAATAGCTCAATTCCCTCTTTATTGCTTGCCCTCATCCTAGAATACTGTACATAGAATACTTGATACCGGTTCTGCCAGTTCCTCATTGGCAATCAGTGACAAGCAATATCTGTGAATGAGTTTCTTTATTATCTGAAAATCCAGAATAATCACAATTCCCCCCAAAAACCCATTGACGAACGTATCTGTCATACGGTCATAAAGCCATCATCGTCTCTCTATTTCTTCAGATTTCAAATGAACTGGTCGTTTTGTATTTTATCTGCAGAGACCACCTCGCTGTTTTTTTTCTACACTGTCACCTACATATCGCGATGACGTCCGAACTGATGGAAAGAGAAAATGAGAACCCGATGTTTATCACACCCGTTCAGTTTTGTCCATAACATGAAAACCGTTTTTTCTCAATTTCCGCGCGTTTCTCTCTCTCTCTCTTTTCATCTCCGTCAAAAGCCACTCCAAGGAATGTTCGGAAAATGTTCGGAACTGATGATAAATTGCCACGAGCTGAGTGCGAGAGAAGGTCATGGATATAGTTTATTAGATTTTGGACGAATCGTTTTTAGCAAGACAAACCGGGCAGAAAAAAAGTTCACAAGTGAAAGCAAAGTATTATCAACGTGTTGGCGTGTTGTTCTATAGAGAAGTTTGTATGGAAAAGTCATGTATGACAGACAAAGGTGAGGAACTGAGATGAATCAGAGAAATTGGAAGGACATGCTATGCAGGTTTTAGAATCGTACTGTGATAGATAATCGAAATAAATTATTCTTGAACAATTTCATTCGGGAACCAATGATGCTCATAGCTAAAGCTGTCTTCATTATTTGCCTTTCGAACTTTCTGCATTGTAAATCCCACTTTCAGTAATGGATCGTCATCTTCTAAGTGTTCTCCTGGATGAGCAAGTGTGTGCTCCAGAACTTCTGCATAGCTGAGTTTCTTTCTACACAGCGGATGCTCTCCTTGTATGACTACGGTTGCTCGAAGGTTTTCAAAGAATTGTATGATGGCGTTGAAATAAACCCCACTTCTGTTCCAGGAGATTCGACTCATTCGCAAGGACAATCGTCCTACCCGTTCCCGTCTCAGGTTCACTCTTCCTTTTTCGGCAAAGTCCTCCGGGGTGAGTTTGCTGAGAAGTTTGATTTGTGGTTGACCCAAATCCATATTTCGATTGAGACCGAAGTTGCCTGAAATTTTGAATTTTGAAAATTGGAATTTTGAGTTAGCTGTGGTTTCGCTCTACGCGATCCAGCATTTGAAATTCCAAAATTTTTTCTCCAGTACAGTGCCTGATAAAACCAAATCAAGTTCAAAAAAACCATATGTGATAGTAAATTTTTGTTAAATGAAAAATTTTCCGCTGTTATTGTACTATCTCAAACAAAAACGATCACCTATAATTCTGCTCCAATTACCTACATACTCTCGTACCTGAGATTACGTTTGGTCGATTTACAGTACCGGTTAATAAGATACCACGAACACGTGTTTTAGAGTTGATTTTCGGCCAGTTCGGAAATTTTCAGGAGTCTGGAGCTCGATTTTCAAACTTCCGATCAATTTGGAAGTTTTGAAGGGTGTAAAACAGGCCTACTATAAAAACTTTGCATTCTCAGAAATTTTTGATAAATTGCAGTCTTTTAGTTATTGGCCGAATTCTGAAAGACATCAAATTTTTTCCGTTTTTTGTACTTCAAACGAAAAAAACATATGTTATTCAGAAATCGGGAAATAGCTGGAAAACTAGGAATTCTCAAAAAACTCTGCGAATGCAAAACTTTCCATCTATGTCTGTTTTACATTTTCCGAAAATTTCAAAGTGATTGGAAATATGACAGCCGAGCTCGAGACTTCTGAAAATGGGCAAACTGGCCGAAAATCTACTGAAAATTACGTTTTCGTACATCTTATTGACCGGTACTGTACCTACCTCCGTACCCGAGATTAATTGAAATCGATTTATGATATTTTCATTACGAAAACAATCAACTTTAGGTTTCAACAAAGTTGGTATCATCCCTGGTCCCTGGTCCAACTCGAAAGAGTTCAAGTGATCTAAAATTGACTTGTTTAAATATAAATTTGCAGAATTTGACATTTATTTGAATTTGACATTCATTCATACAGTAATGTACACAATGATCGTACTCGTGATCCCATTAAATTTGAATAGTGTGATCCAATCACATGAGTATCCGTTTTGTTGATCATGTGCCGGTACGAATTCAATTTTTGTTTTGAAATTTTGAATTTGTTCGACTAATTTTGTATCTTAGCAAACGTTTTATCAAAACTAAACTACCCGCGCCTACCGGGCCATACCGGTTGCCAATGCTGTGTACTAATCCTCACCTTCAAAAGCGAATTCGATATCATATCGTTGAAACGAAAACAACAGTCTTGTGTACTCCGCTAGAATCGCCGCCGGCTCCTCCATGTCTTCAGTGTATGGAAATGAAATTAGTCGTCCTCTTCCGACACAAATGGAAAACTCGTCCCTTTTGATTGAGATTTTGTTTTTCCGAGATTTATTGTCAGCATTCTCCACAATCAGTCGAATAATCTCAGGGCACACCATCAAATGACTATCCACGAAACCAGCGAGAGATTCTGAAACATTTCAAGTTACGAAAAGTGGTGAAAATATTTTGAAATAAAAACACAAACTCACTTCCTTTAACCATTTGCTTGATATCCTCGTAGAAGTCTGAGAAATCTCCATTCTTGAAAAACCATTTGATGCAAATACATAGCAGAGTATCCGGCTCTCCACGTGGCGCGTCTCGAAAGCTTGTTTGAAATTGTCTCCGTGATGTGGAAGTCAACCCAACCGCAGAATTGATCAGGTAACTGACCACTTCTTGTGCCGGGGACAACATTGGAATTTCCTTGAAAATAGGCGGTCAATAGTTTGAAGAATGGGTGCGGTCAGGGACAAAAAGATATAAAAAGGAGATGTGTGAGCAAGGAGGCAAAGAGACAAAAATGGAGACATAGTTCAGATAGGAAACATAGAGATTTTGAAAGATTGTGCTGCGCGTGTGTGCGTGAGGAATGAGTGAGGATTAGAGTTTTACTTTTTAAGGGAAAGAGTAGTAGTGAGAAAAAGAGAAAATTAAGAGAAAGTGTGAAGAAAATGGGAGTCATTTGGGTAGAAAAATACAGCTGATCCGTTACTTGATCCGGATGAGCTCTTTAATGTTATGAGGAAGAGAAGTAAATGAGAAAAGCATGGGAATATAAAATGAATACAGATTTTTTTAAAAGAATTGTGTTGTTAATAGAATTTCAGGAAAGAAAAACGCTGGCCGTGATGCCCGAAATTCCGAGAACAATAATTACCGTAACCTAATGTTTTTGAAAAAATGTTTTTTTTCAGAATTTTTCGTCACAATTTTCTGGTATATCCACTAGAATTAATGGTCAAACAATAGTTGGAAAATTGAGAATCTTAGAATCTCAGAAGCTAGGAGAAGCTAGGAGCTAGGAAAATCTAGGAGTCCCAAAACTTCAAAATGTCTATCATTTTTGATTTTTGAATAGCTTCTCAAATTTCGAGAATTGCAGAAGTTCGAAAGTTTGAAATTTTTTAACAAATCCCAAAAATCAGGATTTTGAAATACTGTCACAGAATTTTAGAACTTCAGGATGTCAGAATCTCAGAATCTCAGAATCTCAGAATCTCAGAATCTCAGAATCTCAGAATCTCAGAATCTCAGAATCTCAGAATCTCAGAATCTCAGAATCTCTGAATCTGAGAAACTTAGAATCTTAGAATCTCAGAATCTGAGAATCTCAGAATCTCAGAATCTCAGAATCTCAGAATCTCAGAATCTCAGAATCTCAGAATCTCAGAATCTCAGAATCTCAGAATCTCAGAATCTCAGAATCTCAGAATCTCAGAATCTCAGAATCTCAGAATCTCAGAATCTCAGAATCTCAGAATCTCAGAATCTCAGAATCTCAGAATCTCAGAATCTCAGAATCTCAGAATCTCAGAATCTCAGAATCTCAGAATCTCAGAATCTCAGAATCTCAGAATCTCAGAATCTCAGAATCTCAGAATCTCAGAATCTCAGAATCTCAGAATCTCAGAATCTCAGAATCTCAGAATCTCAGAATCTCAGAATCTCAGAATCTCTGAATCTCTGAATCTGAGAAACTTAGAATCTTAGAATCTCAGAATCTGAGAATCTCAGAATCTCAGAATCTCAGAATCTCAGAATCTCAGAATCTCAGAATCTCAGAATCTCAGAATCTCAGAATCTCAGAATCTCAGAATCTCAGAATCTCAGAATCTCAGAATCTCAGAATCTCAGAATCTCAGAATCTCAGAATCTCAGAATCTCAGAATCTCAGAATCTCAGAATCTCAGAATCTCAGAATCTCAGAATCTCAGAATCTCTGAATCTGAGAAACTTAGAATCTTAGAATCTCAGAATCTGAGAATCTCAGAATCTCAGAATCTCAGAATCTCAGAATCTCAGAATCTCAGAATCTCAGAATCTCAGAATCTCAGAATCTCAGAATCTCAGAATCTCAGAATCTCAGAATCTCAGAATCTCAGAATCTCAGAATCTCAGAATCTCAGAATCTCAGAATCTCAGAATCTCAGAATCTCAGAATCTCAGAATCTCAGAATCTCAGAATCTCAGAATCTCAGAATCTAAGAATCTCAGAATCTCAGAATCTAAGAATCTCAGAATCTCAAAATCTCAGAATCTCAGAATCTCAGAATCTCAGAATCTCAGAATCTCAGAATCTCAGAATCTCAGAATCTCAGAATCTCAGAATCTCTGAATCTCTGAATCTGAGAAACTTAGAATCTTAGAATCTCAGAATCTGAGAATCTCAGAATCTCAGAATCTCAGAATCTCAGAATCTCAGAATCTCAGAATCTCAGAATCTCAGAATCTCAGAATCTCAGAATCTCAGAATCTCAGAATCTCAGAATCTCAGAATCTCAGAATCTCAGAATCTCAGAATTCCA